ATAGCCATGTATGGCACATGAAGTATTATCAAGGCACATTAGAAACAGAATTTAATATAAATTAGAGTTTATTTATACAGTAGTTGTTAAGGAAAGTTAAAATTAATGGCATACTGGACAGGATAGGGCATGGGATCTCTGACCTTTGTTTTCAGTTAAAATACAAAACAGGGAACTGATACTACTGTTTTGTGAAATGTCTTGTATGACACTCTGGCACTGACTGCACTCCTCCATTATATTGGTATGATTTACCTATCACTGATATTTGCTGTAAATTCTGCTTATACCTATGAGGGTGGTAAAAGTCAACTGTGACAAGCTACACATCAATTTACCAGTAAGGATACAGTTTTCCTGTGCACTCTAACAAATCTAGTACAGAAGGAGGCACTCAGTAGGTGGTGGTGGTGATGATGATGATGATGATGATGATGGAATGCAATAACTCTTTTTATATGAGTTTCTTTCTGAACTGCTGGATATGTATACAGTGACTGAAGCCTGGATATATTTGCTAATGCAACAACTCACTATCTAATCAGTCTATTCTCCTCTCAAGGACATTTCACTTTGATTCTCATGCTTACTCACCTTAACAAACAGAAAATGAATTCAGAAATGAATAATTGAGCTTATGAGTGGAAGCTCAAGAGAATCCTGCTCTGGACACCAGGACAATAGTCTCTATGGAAATGTGAAATCTCTATAAGCAGACACTGGGTTGCTTTTAGCTGCCTAATGTGGTTGTTGTCATGCCTCTTGATTGCTCCAGCCTCTGCCCCATCAGAAATGTTCCATTTTTAGATAAGAGAATCTTTTTCATGAAAATAATACAAATAGGGCCCACTCTGGCTTTTGTAATTTCAAAAGATATTTAAAACCAAATGGCATATTACAAATTTTAGTTATCATCCTCTCCCTTTATCTATTTTTTTCCCAAATGTCATTTCTACTAATTCAGTGTTTTTCTAACTTCCTACTGTGATCTTTCAGCTCCTTTCATTTTACCTTTTCTTTCAGTCTATATGGAAATTAAAGTGAGTCAATTTTTGAGTTCCTGCTGTTTCAATGATTTATGCTGGACTTTCTTATGCCTCCTCTTCATCTACCCAACTAAGCTCTGTGCATTTTCCTTGCTCTGACTTTTTGTTGCCAGTATATTCAGCATGCAACGTTCATTTCTACAATATATCTGGTTTCTATTTCTGATTCAACTTCTGCTTACTCAAGTCTCTCTTGGACTCTAGTTTTCTTGTCTCTATTGGGAAAATCTGAGAAAAATAAACAGAGTTTGGAGCCTGTCTAGTTAGGATTGAAGCTTTGGCAAAGTTACTTTTTTCAAGTCTCAGTTTCTGTCTCTGTGAAAAGGTATGTTTATAGTTATTAGTCCATGAAATCATTATAAATTTGTTGATTTGTAGGGGAAATACAGTCAGTACTTTAAGTGTTTAGTTACCATTTTTGTTTTTCCAGTTTTTTTAAAAAAAGTGTATAGCTTATTCCAGTCTTTTTTTTTTTTTTTTTTTTTTTTTTTTTTTTTTTTTTTTTTTTTTTTGATAGAGTCTCGGTCTGTTCCTCAGGCTGCAGTGCAGTGGCGTAATCTCTACTCACTGCAACCTCAGCCTCCCAACTTCAAGGTATTCTCTTGCCTCAGCCTCCCTAGTAGCTGGGACTACAGGCACCCGCTACCACATCTGGCTAATTTTTATATTTTTGGTAGAGGTGGGGTTTCTCCATGTTGGCCAGGCTGGTCTCGAACTCCTGACCTCAAATGATCCATCCATCTTGGCCTCCCAAAGTGATTGGATTATAAGTGTGAGCCACCACATCCGGCCTATTTCAGTCTTTTTGACTAAAACACATGTTTAATCTCTGGAAATAATTTATTTTTATTTTACTTTTATTCCATTGGTAGTGAATTTGTAACCAAGAATGGGTATGATGACTTGTGAAATTATTTCCTTTACTATATAGGCATATTTTTATGTGCTACTTTGTGTATATCTAGCATATATTAAATAATAAATAATTGTTCAATGGTTATATTGCAATGCAAATGGATGTTTATGTAAATTTAGTGCCGTATCACAAATTTGCTAGCAATATTTTTTCAATAATCTATACACAATGTCAAGAAAAAATTTTTGTGCAATATTTACTATTTGGAGAGCACTGAATTAGGAAAAAATGCCAGGAATAATAACAATAGCTAATACTCACTATTGGCCAGGCATTGTCCCAAAGGCATATTTTATCATCCTCATAACAGTCCCACGAAGCTGGACCAGTTTTGATTTTTATTTCACAAATGAAAAAACAGATGCACAGTAAATGTTATTTCTTCCCCAAAGTCACATGGTTAACGGCAAGTAAAAGGGGCTTGAAGAATACCTGTCTGGCTTTGGAGTCTGTCCTCTCAGCATGCAGACAGCCTGTTCTCAGGGAGCTTACAGCCTGTTCTTAGGATTGTGTTTGTCGCATGTGACATAGCCATTATTTTGTCTTGTTTACCTATTATAAAATCTACTTTGGTAGATATGAGACTGTGAAGTTTTCTGCATTGTTTACTTTCTGCTTTGGTAGACACATTTGCTCATTGCATATATGTGGTGATACAAGTTTTTCATCTGATAAAATCTTCACTTTTCATTGATTTTTGTTCTCAAGTTTTGTTAATTTGTTATAATATATAAACTTTGTTTAAGTTAGAATTGGTTGATTTGGACAGGAGAAAAAGTTCAGTAAATGTAATCTTTAGCCTTTTCTCAATCTGCCTTCACCATGAGAGTGCCAGGTGTCTGAGTTCAGCCCTTTCTCTGAAATAGCTCTTTCATTTGTAGTGAGAATTGGTAAGTGTTAATTATCACTGAAAGTGAGATTAAAGCAGTGAAAAGTTCCATTAAGAAGAATTAATTACTAGGTTGGCATTTAATGGAAGTTCTTAAGCAAATAATAAGATGCCATGAACATCTTATTACATCACGCTACTGACATTTGTAGTTTAAGATCATAATTATCAAAGTAATCTGGCTTTACAGCAGCTTTCTCCTTGTCCCCAGGAGTGTGCACTTTTCTACACAGATACAAGAGTGAGGGTATTCTCCTCAGTCTTGGTCCTATCCGTCAGTGTCTTGCAGCACATCAGAGAATCACCCTATTCATCCTCCAAGTCCAGGTATGCTTCCTCTATATCTGGTGAACAATCTTTTTTTTTTTTTCCCTGCAAATAAATACAATGGTCTACTTGGTATATATTTATGTCAATATATAACATTGGAAGGAAAGATTTGGGGCAGAGAAGAAGGAAAAATGTATTTTGTTCTTCCAATTTCTTTGTGTCCAAAGCCATAGACCACATCCTTCATTGAATCTGATGATTTAAAATGCCCCAAATGTCTTCAGTACTTACCAAAATGCAGTATATTTACTTATGAAATTTCAGCACCTTCTCTTTTCCCGCCAGTCATGATGTATTTTGCCTCATGTAAAGATCTTTAAACTTTTTTGACTTTTGCTTCTTGTGACTTGAGAATTACCAATAAAGAACACATGCAAAAATATTTTACCCAGTAAGTTGACACAATGTCTTGACATTGCATTAATTTTTTAGTTCCAAAATTTTCAAAAGATCTAAAGTGGAAAGATTCAGATCACTAGATGCAATACTAAAAGGATACAAAATGAACCAGGCATGACTCTTGCCCTGGAAGAACTTGTAATAAAGTTTCCAGGTTTCTACATGCAAAAGACATCTCCTTATTCAGAGGAAGTAATATCAATTGGGGAGCATCAGATGTAGCTACAGGATGCAGGTTATACCAAAGAGAGAGACCCTTATTCTTCCAGATAGACCAAAGCTATAGCTGGAAGAATATTGAAGATTTCTCCATGAAAGAGAGGACCTCCTAAGCAAGCAAGAGACCCTTTATCTCCTGCAATTCAATCATAATTATTTCTAGGCACTGTGTTCCAGAGTTCCAGAAAACCGAAAGGCAGAAACATTCAGGATAGAACTGGGGATGACGGATCTTTCCCTTGGACTGATGTGCACTCCAGGCAAAGGGTGATACTGAGGCAGAAGAATATATTTCAGGCTGCGTTTAAAATTCCGGGGACTTGAGTGCCAAGTAAAGGAGTTTGGAAAAAGTCTGGAGGAAGGGGACAGAGAGATAGGTATTTTTGAGCTTTGGAAATATTAACTGGGAATTAGTGTGTAAAATGAATTGGGGGCAGAATGATAGACAAATTAGGTGACAGCAAGGTAACCAATGGATTGGTGGCTTGTATGTGTGCTGCTTAACTCAAAGTCTTCTGCATTGATTATTTTTCTTTTTAATAAGGTGATGAATAATTTTCCAAAAGGCTTGGTTTACTTTTTAAACTTTTTTCTTTTATTTATAAGTCTGTAATAATTCAGAGAGAGGCATTAATGCAAGGAAAGCTTGGATTTGCTTCACCACAGGTTGCCATACACTACTTTATGGGAAGTTGTAGAATTTTCAAAAATTCTCAAAAGCAAATTCATTTTAATTCATTTAGCCTTTCTTTCTTTCTTTCTTTCTTTCTTTCTTTCTTTCTTTCTTTCTTTCTTTCTTTCTTTCTTTCTTTCTCTTTCTTTCCTTCCTTCCTTCCTTCCTTCCTTCCTTCCTTCCTTCCTTCAGCCCTTCCTTCCTTCCTTCCTTCTTTCTTTCTTTCCTTCTTTTTCTTTCTTTTCCTTCCTTCCTTCCTTCTTCCTTCCTTCAAATCTTCCTTCCTTCCTTCCTTCCTTCCTTCCTTCCTTCCTTCCTTCCTTCCTTCCTTTTTCTTTCTTTTCCTCTCTCTCTCTCTCTCTCTCTCTCTTTCTTTTGAAATGGAGTCTCACTCTGTCACCCAGACTGGAGTGCAATGGTGTGATCTTGGCTCACTGCAACCTTTGCCTCCCGAGTTCAAGTGATTCTCCTGCCTCAGCCTCCCAAGTAGCTGGGATTACAGGTGCTCACCACCACACCCAGCTAATTTTTGTATTTTTAGTAGAGACAGGGTTTCACCATGTTGGTCAGGCTGGTCTCAAACTCCTGACTCAGGTGATCCACTCTTCTCATTTTCCCAAAGTGCTCAGCTTACAGGTGTGAGTCACCACACCCAGCGATTCACTTAGTTTTTCAAGTTACATCCATTACATAAGGTCACGTAAGGTGGGATCAGGTTAAAGAAGAGAGATAGCCTCACTATCAAAACAACAATGACATCGTGGTGTATGTTCCAAGTTACAGAATTTGAAAAGTTGTTATTTCTTCTTCACTCCTCCTCAGCTACACTCAAAATGCTGTCATAAATTCATGCTGCTTTTTGATGGTGGAATCAAAAGCCTGTGTGTGTGTGTGTGTGTGTGTGTGTGTTTTCAGGCTGGTGTGCTATTGAATCCTTACAAAACAAGACTGTCTCATGTTTTTATTACTTATTTTACTCAAATTGTCATTACAGGTACTTATTAAGGAAACATTTAGACCAATCCTGGGGTGATTAGAGAACAGGATTGGCGTAAAGAATGTAACTTTTACTCTGGTTGGCCTCTTACTACTAAAGGGTTTCAGTGATTTGACAACTCCAGTAATATCTCTGTATCTCACCATCTGGCAGCATTTCACAGTGCCTGTTTGATGAGTAAGAGGTGCTACAAGATCATTACGAGGAAATTTCAGCACCAACAAACAGTTTCAACAATTGTTTATGACCACTGGGTAGTGCTGCAAACAGACACATACACTGAAATGCATTGCTTTGTTTTAGAAACACAGGTACTTCCTGCTGTAGTTTTTAATTGTTTCAGTAATGCATGTATGTCTAGCTGCACTCTTTTTAATTCATTCAACATCTAGCATTTAGTGACCCCATCTGATCTGAACAATGCTTCTCTTCCAGGGACTAATACAATTGTTTTAGATTATTGTTTCTTCCCTGTAGCTTCCAAAATAATCAATAACAAATTACCCATTTCATTTAGGAAACAGATATTTGCTCCCTTGGAATCCAAATTATATTTAGATGTTTTTATTTTTGCTGTATTCCATAAGATCCCTGACCAAATAGATGGTCAGAGAAGGTTATAACTTATGTAGCTCTAACTCCCATGTCTCCAGAGAAGAACATTCTGCCATCCTAAATTCTGCAGCTAGTGAGACTGGCAAATCACTTATTTTTAATGCTAGAGACTCCTTTCTCCCAGCTTGAAGAGTTGGCAGCTCTGGTTAGGGAATGATGCCAGATCTAAGCAAAGTTGACTTAAAGTACAGGTAATCTGGGAGACTAGTGGTGCTATGAATGCACACAGGACTCAACTCCCAGCTGGGTTCAGATTAAAAGAGTCTGGCTGAGATCCAGATGAGATGAAATTTACTACTTCATTTTGGGGAGTCTCGGCTTTCATTAATATGCATCGGTATATCTTATAGAATTAAAAATATTTGAAGCAAGGAATAAAAATGAAAAAACAGTGTATACTGAAGAAAAGCGTATTCCTGTTCATTTGGCATAGATCAAATCAGTTGAACTCAGAACTATAGAATAAAATTACAGATACAGATGTCAAGAAAGGAATATTTGGAGAAAATAAAAATGAAAGCAACAATGATAAATTCTGATACCATTTGATAACATATATCATTTCATTTCAACAAAACATACTTCTACAATGCTACAGTAACGGCATTAAATTATGTGTTTTCATTCAAATGAAGTAAGAGAAGATTCTTGATGCTATGAATGCTATCTTCTTAGAGTAAATCATATCAATATTTTACCATAAGTCCCAATTGTTTATGTCATTAGAATATTAGGCTGTTTCCTCCTTGACTTCATTAAGATTATTCATCATGTCAAGTTTTTGCTTTTCTATACTAGGAAGTCTGCTGTTTTCCAAAGAGAATGAATGTAAGTTACAAAATTTCAAATCATCCAGCTGCCTTATTTTCCTATCTGGAAGCACAGGCCACAACTCCATCAGCAAGACATAGTAACTATAGCCTGATAAAATTAATTCCCAAAAATTACCTTAGAGTTTTAATCTTTTCCAAATGGAGGTCAACAAAATACAACAGTCACAATAATATTCAATTGATGAGCGCCAATACTTTCCTAGCTCTCCATGTTGTAGAGGGTGCCTTCATATATTTTATTAGCTTCTTTGGACTTCTCAAACATTCCTTGAGATAAGGAGATAAAGCATGATTAAAACATCTGTTTTCCAGAAGAGGAATCTATATGCCCAAGGACACATAGTTAACATGTGGCAAAATCATCCTCAGGTCTTTCATTTCAAATTCCTTGCTCTTTCAACTATTTCTCAAGATAAATGCAAAAGAGATTATTTTTCTTTTGGTGTCATAAGAGAGCCCTGGCCTGGCCTAGGAATTGGGAGAACATCGTCCTCATGTGCCAGATCAGTGATTTGTATAGGTTGTGTGACCTTGTGTTTCCCTACATCAACTGTAAAATGAAGGCTCTGAACTAGATCATTTTAAGTACTTACAGCTGTAAAATCCAATGACTCTATTTAAAATAATGTAGGAAGCTTCAGAAAAATTGCATCTATAATAAATTTTATTGCTGAAAGTTTCCCAGAATGTATCCTGCAAACTACAGTGCCACATGTGTTAATATATATTATGGCATAAAAGAATCTGTGGGTAATTGGTTTTGCGAAATGCAGAGTAAAACAAAATTAGGCATAATTTCTTTATGGCAGGACTTCTCCGTGACTTCAACTTTCCAACTGCAGAGTGAAACTAGAGAAAGAGCATGGAGAGTGCACAGGTCCAGGCAGGGTCCATGGACATGATCATGGCAATAATGGTCCAGGAAAGTGTCTCTGAGAAAAGCCTCATGTCCAGACTGTCAGCGATGGTTCTCAATGGGCAAATCATGGCATCTCCTGATATCTCCTCTCTACCAAATGGACCTTGAGGTGGCTACGGGCTGTGTATTTAAAGACATATCTGGTGGAATAAAATTTAAAGAAGTTTCTTAAAAAATATAATTGCAAACTAAACTTTTAGACTGCCTTAATTCATAATCACCTCAACTGCCAAGATTATTTAGCAATATTGAAGAGATCGTTTCATTCTTCTTTACCTATAGCAGTGCTGGATAAGAGGATTTCTGGAATTTCTTAGAATTTCATATTAAGAATACCCGAGTATCTTTCCCTTAGTATGCTTGTTGATGTTGATGATATGATACAAAGCTATTCGAGGGAGGTTCCCAAGATTCATGTTTCGATTAATTGCCACAACATGTACAGCAGCACTTGCCTTCAAGATCATTGGGGGTGTGCAGGGTTGTCAAATTGGCACGCAGTGTCTACAATCTGATAATTTTTTTCTTATTACTGTTTTCAGGATGAGAATATGAAGCTGATCTGAATGCTTTTGACATCCATAGGCCTTGCAAGATAGCTCTACAATAACCATAACAGACAGGTTCTCTATACACATAAATCATAGGTAGTCCACAAGAAGGGGACTGTTACTTTCAGTTTGAGGAAAGATTTCTCCTGTTTTAAAACAGTATGACTATGTGCCTGCAAGACTTACAAAACATATATACATGTGCAAAGGCTCCATTCTTGATATATAATTTTAACAACTTTGTCTTATTCGTTTATTTTCACGTTGGTGGTGAATTACATGAAATTGACTTCCATTTATTTTTTCAGTAAACAGCTAGTTTTACAAACTACATTTGCTCCCTGAGTTAGTTATTCCTATTTTTATTTCAAAAACTGGAGTGGAGAAAGAATTGGAAAGAAAACCTACTACCATTCTTGAGAACTATTACTAATTTCGAGATGTACATCTCAATTTACTCCAGAAGCAATGGTTCATCCAGAGGTACCTTGCAATCAGTGATATATTTAATTAGACCCTATATCTTTTTGAGAAAAGCAAGGCCTGATATGAAGGCTGTGTGTGTATATTTTTGTGGAAAATGGAAAGAAATAGGAAAAGAAATTTTCTTTGCTTTTGTAAAGTGATGTTTATGTGAAATTATATTAGTTAAATGCCTTAATCACAAACAGAAAGGATTGGATGGCAAGTCATCCACTTATTCTCTGTGTTTTTGCATTTTTATATTTCTTCTAAAAATGTACCTATTGCCTGATTTCTCCTAGGTTGTGAGGCTGAATAAGGCAGATAGTTCCCCAGTTTCATGAAACTTTCAATGGAGTGTTTGTGTTTGGGAGGATAGGAGGAGCAGGAAATAAGAAGCAGAAATAGCCTGTGGCGTGTTCCTGAGTGTTTGGCGGAGAATATTTAAATGTCATGCAAAAAGAAAAGTGACTTAAATTTGTCCAGGGAAGCCTACTCTGAGGAGTGAATTTTATACTGAGATGTAATTGACAGAGCAAAACCAACCATACCAGGATTAGGAGAAGAGTTAACAGCAGAGCAGAGGTACCCAGGTAGTAGTGAGCCCACAGGTTAGGGGAATGGAGAGAAGGGAGCCCTGAGTCCTGATCATGCAGGATATTGTAAAGCCAAAGAGATAAATTTTACTTAAATTCAGGTTACAATGGAAAGCCACCAGTGTATTTTAAGCAAGATTAAATGGCATACTTTCTTTGGTTTTGAAGAGATATTCTGGCTACTATGTGCAGAAAGGAACCATAAACAGGAAAGCAGCTCAGAGACTGGAGGTGGGCTTGTCTCATTGACCATGGCCAGAGGCTGACAATTTGCAGCAGGAAGTGCTGGTGAGAAAAAATTTGATGTATTTTAGGCTTTGATTCCATGTTTTAATAATGAGGCGTGGGAAGGCAAAATCATTGCAACTCACTCAATTCAAAGAGAAGAGCGACCAGTCTGAGAGGGAAAGTGGGTGGGAAGTGGAGAGCTTAGAGAAGTATCTGCAAGATGAAGTAAGGATGAATGACAAGTCTTCTCAGCAAGCTGAAGCAGATTCAATAGATAAAAATGGGCATACGACTGCAAAGCATGTTTAACTTCTTGTGCTAGACCCATAAATGATTTAGACAGATTTTTTTTTCAGAAATTAAAAAAGATCAGTCAAAGCAATTAAGAAAATGTAGGGACTGTGCTTTCATTCATTTCCACTTTGAACGCAGTGCTATGTTTGAAACTAGGAAGGATATGAAACGTTGTTTTGAGAGTGCTCCCACTCAAAGGCCTGTGCAAGATCATCTCCATCTCTGAGACCTAGCCCAGAGTGCTTACTAGTTAGATTTCATCTTTATATACTGAATTCATTATTTTTATCTTTCAAAATCAGAACATTTTAAAAAGAAAAGTTAAGTAGGAAAACAGAGCAGAACAACAGAAACATCTGAGGGTAAGAGGATAGGCATGTGGCCTGGGCAAGGATCCCTGAGGGGGAAGATGCCGACGAAGATCCTATTAGTGTTCACTTATCTTTCCTCAAAGGAGAACAAAAAATAAAGACCAGATGCCCTTTTCATCCTATTTTACATTCATTCCTCTTTCCCGTTGTCGATCCTGTCATAGGCAGAAGATGGAAAGGGGAAGGCTTCATTGCAAGGACTGATCAAAGATAAAGTTAGAAGGTCAGAAGACAAGGCAATGCATGCAGCCTCTGTAGTGGGGCTGTGGAATCACGAACACTGCTTGGGCGTTAGACGGTCTTCAGCAGCTTCCCAAGAAAGCTGCTTATTAGATTTGTGACCAGGACCAGGGGGAAATCCCTGGAGCCTCAGTTTTCATATCTTCGTAAGGGGAAATAATAATAATAAAGATGCCTGGAGGATCATTTGTGAATACCTGTAAAATGCTTCCCACGGGGCCTGTGGCCAACCCAGTTCACAATTGTCCACTCAATGTAATGGACGTTGGCATGTTGAAATGTAGATCACTCTTTTCTTCAAAGCCCTTTTGCTCTTTTATACAGTAAAGAGATGCTGGGATATGAAAGAGATTTGAAATAACTAGTTCCCCAAGTTAGACTAGAATGAACTGAAATAGAGAGGGGAAAGAGAGGGAGGGAAAGAGAGAGAGATTGAGAGAGAGAGAGAGAGAGAGAGAGAGAGAGAGAGAGAGAGAGAGAGAAACAGGAGGAGAGAGAAGAAAGGGGGAAGAGGAGAGGAGAGGGAAGAAGAGAACAGGGCTAGAATGGAATGAGCTAGTCAGGAGCTAATTAATGGCCAAAGAGGAAGAAAAGAAAGCAATGCAAACAAATGAAAATGCAGCCAAGGCAGAAACACACTGGATAGGAAGATGCTTAACAGAGAAGTGTCTTGCTGCTGTGCAGGATGCCTCAATCTAAAACAGCATGAGATGAGTGGCCTTCATTCATGGCCACGATCACTGAAGCGGCTCCGAAGTGGCTTTGTACCTGTAAAAATGGGCTTGTTTTGATTTTTTGAACATACAGTTAAAATTGTTGTCTTTATTGTAAAGGTCCATGTTTCATTTAATAGTCTACCAGAAGTATGAGGACATCATGTAAAAACACTTAAATTAGAAGAAATAGTAATAAAAATAAAAATAAAAATAGCCATTTTATTGAGAGTTTAGCTGAGTGGGGCACTGACTTCTTTCCCTCCATTATCTAATGTTGAACTCCAGGCAGCAGGTTTTATATTTATGTTCACTTTAGAAATGAGGAAATGGATGTTTAAGAAGTTGAGTAACATCCGAAATATCCCCCAGTTACTGGCTGACTTCGGGACTCAGTCCTGGGTCTTCCTGACCCCAGACTTCAGTGTCCCTAACCACTATGTTAGGAAGAAAATATAGGAGATAGAGATGAATAAATGTAATCTTCCTCCACAGATGGGTAAAATCACAAGCTTGGGAGAACTGACACCATAATGTAGGAATTCTTCCCTGGACAAGTTGAAAATAATTCTATTTCAGTACATTAAAAGGCTTCACTCTGTTAAGATTTTGGAGAAGAATGAGCGAATTTGGTAGTGTAACTAAGAGGCGGGGGAGTACTGTCCCTTATGGCTTGGCAATGAGCAGGAGGGCAGTTCACAATGGAGAGACGCAGACGCCTTTGGGGCGGTGCAGCCATAGCGGAGTGCGCCTGGGACTGTGTGCCCCTGGGACTGCATGTGCCCCGCACCGCCGCCTGCCCTGCGCCAGGAGAACCCAGAGCACGGCTGGGCCCAGACTGTCCTACCACGGTTTCAGCAGGCGCAGGTCTCTCCAGCAGCTCCTAAACAGCTTTTGTATGTCCTTTCTCCAAAGTGTGTGGCTCATAGGCAGGTTCTGTGCTTTTGATGACAATCCTTTTTTGGGTCGGGATCATTTTGATCTGTTGCCCCTTCTGTCCAACCTTTGCTCTTCCCCCTGGTCCTTCTCACCCCGTCCCTTCCTGTGCCTGTCTGCACACCGACGTCCTCGGTCCTCGGGCTCCCTCATTCTCCGGGGTTCTTGGCTTGGTGTGACTGGGGACTTCTCACACCTGGCTTGTCGTGGCGCTCCAGGGCTATTGCATCTTGGTTAAAAGGCCTGTCTCTGCAGACTGAAGGTTTTCTGCGGTCAGGATCACGCCTGTTCGGTGTCTCCCTGACCGCCCTTGGAGTCTGCTCAAGGTATATTGGCTGGAATGTTCTCAGAGACCGGCAGCCCAGGAGTGCTGAGTCGCTTGTGTGTCCGCTGTTTACACTGTGCATGCGTGTGTGTGCAGGGAAACAGCCAGGCAGATGCACATGGTTATTTATATCTTCAGATTATTTCTGTGAGGAAAATTCTATCCTGGTGAAAGAGCTTGCTGTTGAGAAACAGTAACTGTACCCATGTAGACGCCACCGTATTCACTCAATGTATTTGACAGGCACACTCATATTGTCAGGGTAAAAGGAGGCAGTAGCCTCTTTGAAATGCAGGGACAGAGCAAGTGACGAGGAAAAAACACACAGCAGGTATGTCCACATTGTTGTGCAACCAATTTTCAGAACTCTTTGATCTTACGAAACTGAGACAGCCTAACTATTACACAGCAACTCCCCATTCCCAGGTCTCCCCCAGCGCCTGACAGCCACCATTCTACTTTCTTTCTCTATGAATTGCATTACTCTGGATACCTCTTCCGGTTTTTATTATAGGCCTACTTGACGTTGTAAAGAAATCAAATGTTTGGCCCAGTAGCCATCCTCCTCTCTGCTTGCTCCATCAACTGAAATTCAACTGGTAGCTTCAGTTCTAGAAGAGGGAGCCCTGAGCGCTCCTGACTTGCACATGCGCTTGTATGTACACAAAATGCCCTGCTTCCTAGTTTCTGCCTGCAAGAATTCCTCCATATCCCTGCCCCAGGGCTTCCTGCTTTACTTTCTCTTCACATCCCTTCCTGTAGACTCGTTTGAAAAAAAAAGAAAAAAAAATATGTTTGCCTCGTGAGCTCCCGGGGCACAGCTTTGCTGCCTCGCAGTAGCCCAGCCGACTCCACTCGCAAGAACAGTGTGTTCTTGAATTTTTTTAAATAAAATAAAATAAATTGTACTTTCATATTATACATTATAATTGAGTGTGGTAGAAATAAAATTTAATTTCAGGTGCTTCTGGTAATGTGGCTCTGGGGTTTCTACTGAAAAAGTAAAAATTCAATAAAAAGTATTCTTTAGGGAGGTGTGTTTTTAAGCCTTTTAGACACTTAAAGCTAACTTTTGGTAAGCGTTCATTCACGAACTGTACACTCTTATGATTTCTATTCATATTTTCTCACTCTTGCTTAAAAATATATTTTCTTAGAGAAGAACTGTTTTTTCAATAAAAATAGAATGAATTCCCATACATCAGTCTCTTCTCTATAAGTGCCCTTCTGAACCCCATGTACACAGAAGACAGTGAAGACAAGTGAAGCTCTTTAGAGAGCTAAATAATAGATGCAGATGAGTGTCTAACATCTATGCAGACTAGGTTCCTGATAAACATTGAATTAAATCTCCTGGCAGGCCAGGGTATTAATCTGGGGAGAAGGAAAGCCATGTGAGTTAAAAGGGGAAGTATCACAGAACAGAAACAAACAGTGGTACCTGAAGTAACCTTAGCAATAATAGCCTAATAAGAAATGAAGAAAAGGAGAGATGGGGAATAAATAAACTGGCATCAGAGACTCCTGGGAAAGACTCATAATTAGAGGTGCCAAAAAAGGCAAATGTAAATACAGAGCCTCAGTCTCCTAAAGCCTCAGGCTCAGAAACTTTGCTCATGGCTGCTAGACCATGGAAGTTACTGTTTCCTTTATCCTGGAGGCAGGCTAGACAGAAATGATAAAGAATCTGGACTCTGACATTTAGATTTACACTAGTGCACTATTGTTTGTAAGGGCATTATTGATTAGAGTAGGGCAAAAAGATGGGCCAACATAATTTGTTTTAGTCTATCCTGTATTATGGTTACTTGTTTGTCTGCCACCAACTATGAAATGTGACTTTAGGAAAGCAAATACGGCTACCATTACATTTTGTTATAGTAAATGAATAAAAGTGAATCATTTTATCATTTTCAGGTGATCAATAATATTTGAAATAATATAATTAATCTTTTATCCATTTTTTACTTGTTATGAAATATTTTCCTGTTCCTTAAAGGTATATAAAATATTTTGCTTTCAATTAAAAAATTAAATATATTACAAATAAAAAATCCTTGCCTTCTTTGTGCTTTCAGAGTATGTAGACTTTCTAAACAGTCTTTGTAGTGAAATAAAAAGCACTTTAAAAGTTAAATGATAGCTTTAGAATATCTTTACCTTAATTTTTGTTGCTGTTGTGGTTGTGGATATGAATATCATTAGTTGTTTGCCACAGATTCTTGTTAAAAAAATAACTGATAGACAATAAAATCTATGGAGAAAATAATAGCTTTAAAAACAAAAGTCTCTGAAAAAAATGAGCATGTTTTTCAAATTGATTTGATCCAATCAAACTCTTATGTCTCCTTTAAGTTAAAGATGCTCTCCTTCTAGTTCCATGTGAAATCATTTATAAAAAGAAAAAGTACATCTATACCCTGGAGAATTACTCAATGAGTATGTCATATCCTTCAGTTATAATATGTATGGGCACATGAAAATTTATAAGTCTCAGTGGTATGCAACTGCTCAAGTAGTTGGCATCTGAATTCTTCGTTTTGAAAGCTGAAAATATTTTGTGAGTTCAGATGACTGATTTCTTCAGCAAATGTTTTTGGCATTTTGGGCCCATCTGCTCTTTGTTAGACACAATTCTAAACTCTGGAAATACAAAAGAAATTCTGATAGCTAATTTTGAATATTTTCTAATTTTGAATCTATAACTATATATATTCATTATATATAATGCAAAATATATATATGTATACATGTATACATACATAATGTGTGTGGGTTTATAAATATGAAATTAATCAGGTGCTGTGGCTCATGTTTGTAATCCCAGCTACTCAGGAGGCTGAAGCAAAAAAAAAAAAAAAAAAAAAATTATTTGAGTCCAGGAGTTCAAGATCTGCCTGAGCTGCATAGTGAGACACTATCTCAAACAAACAAAACAAACAATGTGTGTGTGTGTGTGTGTGTGTGTGTGTGTGTGATTATATTCACTTGACCAACAGCCAAGGATGTTACCTTAACTTGCATTTACCTTTACAAAAAACAGATGGCTTAACCTAGTTGAGTTTAGATCATTCCTAGCTTTATTTTTAGAAAACTAATAGAGTGGATATTTGTCTATTAATGCTTATGTCCATGTTTCCTACAATTACTCTCAGAAGATGTCAGAATACTTCAGAATTAGTATTAAATCCAAGAGATGGGAACTACAGTAAAATTGATGTAATCCAACTCAATTGAGTTGCAAAGTTACTGATTTTTAAAAAGCATTAAACATTATGCATGTGTGTACTTTTAATACAGTTTTGCAAAGATTACAGTGCTTGTCTAAAGTTATACCAATGAACCTTTATAAATGCAGTTTCCTCTCATCCCTACCCAAAGGATGCTTCAGGAAGAAAGAAGGGGATTTATACCACAGTAATTTCATAGACTATAAAACCTCAAGTGTTACGCCGTAGTTATACAATCATTTTGATGCTTAACAGCTTATCTTTGATACATAATTATATTATTTGAAACTCAGCTATAACTGAAAAAGGAAAAACATTAACATAGGAACTTTCTGATTAATCATTGTAAAGAGCGAGTTGTCTATTCATCAAGTAAAAGTTCAGACAATTTGAGACAAAAAAAGTTTGTACATTTTTCAAAATTCAAGTATCAACTTTATAAAATTGTGCATTTAATGTGCTTTATGTATGTATCATTTATACTGCATTCAATAAACATATCAAATTCAGTCTTTAAACATAAATAATGTGAATTTTATATATTTAAAGAACCCTTTTGTTTTGTTTATTGGATTTCTATATACTTTATAAATAATCTCATTTGCTTTTTATTATTGAGAATTGTATGAGATCATAGCTTAAGTAACCAAATGAGATAACATGTATAAGAGCACTCAGTGTGGTGCCTAAACTCCCAGTTATTCACTGCTTTTGCCCTGGATAGACCTGACTTACTAGCTGAGGGCCAACATGGGCCCTTGTCAATCACAGCAGCTGGCAGAGGCCCCTATAGAAGGCTGGGATGTTGCTGACTACTTCACTGCCCTGATGCTTCTAAAAGGTTTGCAGTAGAGTGGTATACAATAATCATAGTTTTTGAATTCTTTTTTTGCTCCCTTTTAAAGTAAGAAAATAATGTTGCTCTACTGAAAATTTGAAACTATGTTTCATTTTATTCATGAGAAAATTCATTCCCAGTGAGATGAATTGGGGGGGGGGGTACTGTTATCCTGTGGCCTTGGTAGCATTTAATTTTCATGCATGTGCCAAATCAGTTTATTACTCTGAGGCAGAATTCTGCCTTGTTCTCTTCTATAACCACCATATTTCTTACTATCCATCATACTAGTTTTCTTTTGTGACATTTTATCTTTCAAATATTAGATTAAAAATCCTATTTGGAATGAAGTTCAAACATTTGGCAATATAGCTCATGCTGTGAGCATTTCTTGTTTTTATTATTTCTAAACAATATATTTATCTGGGATTAGATAAGGTCAAATATAAATTATTTCCAATATCAAATGAATGACTTGAGATATAAAATTATCCTTAATGTTTTACACCTAAATATAGGTGTATGGTTATACACCTATGTTATGGTTTAATTACTTGTAACTTATGGTTCAATTACTTGTAATGTTTGCTATAAAATTTTATTTAAAAAATAAATGTTGTTTTTAAATTTTATTTAAAAATAAGATCACTACATTTCATGAAAAGTAAATTGAAGAATCGATACTTTATAGTAGGAAGAGAATCAGCATGCTAAGTGTAGCACAGCTTTAAAGAATTGTTACATGGCTGAGAATGAGATGGCACATTCCCCAACAATAGCATTAAAAATGTTTGGCTGGAGGTGTGTCACGGAAAGTAAGTTGCTTCTATAATCTTAAAATTGTAAGCATCTCTATCATAAAGCAATCTGTTCTTCTGTTGGAGTATGTTTTCTTACCTTTGCCATACCAATTTCCAGAAGGAAAACTGTCTGAAAGGAGTTTTTGGTTGAATTCTAATTAATTAGCTTTCCTTTTGGTGGCCGGGATTAGATTCCTAAGGTACTAACATGTCATAATAATGAATTGAGAATGAAAGTTTCAGAGGCATAAAGTGATGGCTGAAATACACTGAACATGTTATAAAAGGGGAAGCAACCACAAGTTTTGTCGTTGTTGTTTGTTTGTTTGTTTGTTTTGCGACAGGGCCTCACTCTGTTGCTCAGGCTGGAGTGTAGTGGCACGATCTCCACTCACTGCAAACTCTGCCTCCTGAGTAGCTGGGACTGCAGGTGCTCACCACCACATCTGGCTATTTTAAATAGAGCTGGGGTTTCACCATGTTGGCCAAGCTGTTGCCAAACTCCTGACCTCAAATGATCTGCCCATCTCGGCCTCCCCAGTGCTGGGATTATAGGCATGAGCCACCACACCCGGCCTACAATGTTTTAAATCTATTAAAATCAATATTGAAATCACAATTCTTATTGTTTCCTGTAGAGGATATTAATAATATTAAGTTGTGATACCATTTTGTTAATGTAGATTAAGCTTTTAGTTATAATGACAATAGAAAGTTTTTTAAATCATTATAATGTGAGGGGTTAATGACTAAAAGTAGTTGATATAAATCATATAACATATAATAAATATAGTTAAATAAGGCTCATAGACAATGGCAATGTAAGTTTTGATAATCAAATTCACTACTGAAAATAATTCAGCAGAAGGGATGCTTTTCTTCAGTTATTTGGTGGCATATTCTCTCATAATAGGTAATCCCAACTTCATGTGATTGTTTTTTAAACTTCGATTTTATTTATAGACACCTGTTTCGCATCTATTCCATGATGATAATGATAATGATCTATATTTGAATTAGTAAATCTGATATGACCTTTATATTTTATAAGTACATATTTTTCATGTATCAAAGGTTTCATAGAAGTCTACTTATTAAAAATCCAAATAATTTCTTTTTATAACAAAGACCTATGTGAGATACGCTTTATAGAAAAGTGTTAGATTTTTACAAATAAGTGAATTAGGTTCATTTGAATTTACTGAAGTGAACAATATTTTAGTATTAGTTCTATTATAAAACATCCCAAGAAGTTTCAAAGCAAAAGTTGTGCTGATCACATCTATCAAGGTAAATTTCTGGCATTAGTGTAATGCATAAAATAAAAAAGGGGAAAAAATGTTCAGATCAACAGAAAAACTGTAATAATCTGAATTTCTTGTACCAAGCAGAACTGTATATATTTCACTTCCATTTTCCTGATAAAGGATCTAGTTGGGTCACTGTTCTTCAGATAATGAAGAGTGTTTTACAGTGTAGGTAGAACACTCATTATGATCCCCTCTCATATAACTGATCTGAACTGGAGTAAGATTCTAATTATTGATTAAGTCAATTGTTGTTAAGTTGGAGGTATCACATAAAGCAAGTCATTGGGGTTGTGCAATATTAATGACTTTTACAATTTCCTGTGTAGCCACTTTTATCAGAATATTTGTACATAATACTCAGTATAG